CTGGAACCCTTGAGCAACACGGTCTCCAGGGATGCTGGCCCCATTCCTTGAGTTGCAGGGCGTGTCGGGCTTCCTGGCCACCCGGCCTGCTGAGGGGGTGCTTGTGTGGCCACAGGCCTGGCTCTGGCCTTGCCAACGGGATGAGGGTGGATCTCACAGAGCCCCTGCGTCTTCCAAGACCTGGCTGCGTGGCCCGGGGTCTTTCTGAGCCTCAGCTTCCTCACTGGCCGTGGCCGCTGGAATCCGCCTGTGGGACGCTCACCAGGGCAGGTCTGTGAGGAGCTCTGCAGGTGAGACCAGGCGGCCTCTGAACCAGCCAGGAATCGGAGTTGCAAATGATGGGAACCTGCTGCAGTCGGGACCCGAGACCCAAAAGGAACATATTGTTGCCTTAGCTGGGAACAGAGGGCCGACCTGGGGTTCGGGTTCAGCCGGGCAGGGCTCCAGCCATATGGCCAGGATCCTGCTTCCCTCCGGCTCCTGCCTCAGCCTTCCTTTGTACTGGCAGCTTCTCAGGCCACCACGAGGCGGGGCGGCCACCGGCCTCCAGGGCTCCAGGTGGCGGCTAAGCCAGGAGAGCACCTTTCCCTGCAGCCGTGCAGCCGGGCTGGGAGTTGGTGCCCATGGTTGGCCAGGCTTGCATCTCTGGGCCTCTGCTAGGAGGCAGGAGTGGGCAGGGAGGCTCTTCTGCCTGTGCCCTGCAGAGTGAGGCCCACCCTCCCTACCCGTTCCTGGCACGGCCCCCACAGCCCCTGGCAGGGTGGCCACACCTGAAACCCCTCCCAGACAACACCCTGCCCAGCCGGGAACTGAGTTCAGCCAGCCCCCCGCAGGGCGGTTTCAGGACGGAAGTGCTCGCTTTAAAGCAAAATTACTTACCTAATTAGGCGCTCGGGAGCTGGCAGGAGGTAGTGGGGGTTTTTGTTGATTTTTTTTTTTTTAGACTTTTAGCACTGAAGCTGCGTGATAAAGTAACTGTGTAATTAGGAATTAATTTCTCACTCCCGAAAGTGATGTCTTATTTGGGGCCTGAGGGAAGCCAGCCCGGTGGTTGTTCACCCACAGA